TTGGTTTGATATAAGAGTTTAAATGACCACAGTTAAAATTTGGTTTTCCTTTACCCACAGACGGTCCAAAGACAATTGCTTCCGTCTTTCCCTCATTTAAATGCAAAAATGTTTTAGACATCCAAGATCTTACATCAGCTAAGCATGCAAGCAATGTTTCTAAACCATTCTTGTCATTGTGTTTTAAAGGTAAATAGATTTGGGTGTCATCAGCATAAAAATGAAAGGACACGCCATCCTTCCTAAAAATTGAACCTAGTGGAAGGATATTTTCCCCAAAATAGAAGAGAGCCAAAATAGAGCCTTGAGGAACACCAGAGGTAAGAGGAGCTACAGATGAAACAGCACGACCAATACCTACTGAAAAAGTTATGTTACTAAGATAAGACCTGAACCAGCTCAGGGCACTTCCTTGTATGCCCACACACTTTTCAAGGTGCGATATAAAAGAATGCCATGATCAATTGTATCGAATGCTGCACTCAAATCTAAAAGCACTAAAATTAGTTCCCAGAGTCAACAAGTAGCAAAATGTCATTTAATACTCTTAAAAGAGCAGACTTGGTACTATGATTTTTCCTAAATCCAGACTGGAATTTTTCAAGAGTATTATTTGTTTCCAAAAATGTCTGTAACTGTAATAACACAACTCTCTCAAAAATTTTAGCAATAAAAGGTAAATTTGAGATTGGCCTAAAATGCGATAAAACAGTTGTTTCCAAATTAGGCTTTTTCAACAGAGGTTTCACCATTGCATGTTTACAATAAGCTGGAACAAAGCCAGAATAAGGCTCTTATTTACAATTTCAAGAATCCAGGCCCCAACACTATCAAAAATCAGTTTAAAAAAAGTGGGTAGGAACAATATCAAGAGCAGACGTAGTAGGCTTCAGTCTGACAACTGAATTCATTAAACCCTGCATGGTAATCAGCTCAAATGGATTAAAAAACCTAGTAGGAGTCAGAAGATCTGAAGGGTCATCAGTAAAAGAAATAATGGACTGAAATTCTATGAATTTGAAGGGGGAAAGACCCTGGACAAGAGCCACACTATATGCAAGTTGTGTCAAGCCAGTAGGGCTGTCAAAATGGCTGAAAAACTAAATTCGAATTTTGTATCTTAATATTATTAAAATTCGAATTATATTCAAATTTAAAATAAATAATTTCAGTTAGGGTGAAGAAATTATTTTGGCTTCTCTCCTGAGGCCACAAGAGGGCACAATGAGCAAAATATTACTAATGCACGTTTATTCAAAGTGCATAATGTTTAAAATAATGTTTATAAACCAATTATAATTAGGCCTACTTAAGTTGCTAAGATAAGTTTTTTCAAAGTTAAACTTGAGAAAGATCTTCTCTGCATTGATATTCTCTTTTTCCGCAATATTTGTAATGAACAACACAGCAGCAATCTAGTGGCATCAACTGGATAGGCTGACAAAAATATTATAATGCAGTGACACCTAGGCTACATCGTCATCGCATCTCGTGCGCCGCTTATAAGTCTGTCTGACGCACACCTAAAATTCGAATGCAACGTTTTTGCATTCGAATGTGGTGATTATCGCAAAAGTGGTATTTTTAAAAATAATTAAAGTATAAGTAAGTTATGGTAGTTTAAATTTACTGTAAAGAAAATGCACTATATTAATTGTATTTTATTTTATATATAATAAATATTTTACATAAAAGGTTTTACTCTACAATTAGTATAAAATTAAAGCCTTATGTCTAAATAAGTCATGTTCCAAATTTGAAGTTGATATGAAAAAAAAATTAGGTTCCTGTGAGATTTTATTTAGGGCGTTATACCACAAACAGACACCGGGTGCCATCCAAACTCCATTGAATATATAGAATCCTGAGACTCAGACCTTTCCAATTATTAGTTTTTTTTTGTCAAGATTATAAAAAGGTTTGATTCTAAAAGACCAAAATTCAT